AGACTCCAGGGTGAGGTGGCCAAGAGGTCCGAATCCTGGTGTTGGGGCCACTGCACTGGCGTCACCTTCCTGGGAAAGGTGCACGACAGCACCATCCCTGCAAGCGGGATTCCAGGCGCCTTCCCCTGGGGATGGCAGACGGGCCGCCCTGGCTGGTGTCCTCGCCCGGCTCTCACAGACCAAGAGCAAGAAGACGAGCTCGAGCGCTAGGGCTGACAACCGTGCGCCTGCGTGGCAGGCCTTCAGAGGATCCAGGGCGGCCCTGCGTGGCACTGACCTGGACACGATGGACAAGTCCTGGCATCCTTCCTGGCAGGCCAAGGCATGCGCCACCTGGAGTGTCCGCTGCTGGCCGGCTGCCGTCTCCCCACACTCCCACCGGCGCGCGACCCGACGGCCAACCAGCGGGGCCCCACCCAGGGCACGGAGGCGGCGGACGCTCCTAAGGCAGCAGGCTCAGGCAGGACGGATCACGAGCGGGCGACGGACAGTACTGCTGGTGGCTGCCGCCCTCAAGCCGACGCTCCCCCCCGCATGAGGCGCAGCCCTGCCGCCCACAGCGCGATCGGACCCTGCCCATCCAGCGAGCCAGACACAGCGGGTCGCATCCGTCCACCTGGCGCAGTCTGACAGCGGAGAAGCGAAGTCCATGCTCCTGGAAACGAGACCCCCGCGCCAAGACCCCAGCGCAGCCATGGTGCGGTGCAGGCCGCCCCCACGAGGACTGACGACGCGGGCAAAGACGGCGCCACCCCCACCCTCGCCGAGGGGCCCATCAACGAACCTGACGGTGCCCTCGCGACGACGAGGAAGGGGGCGGTGCGGCTACAGGCGACAGCTCCTGCAACCGGTATGGCCACCCTGGCAGCCACCGAAGACCACCGTCGCGGTCTCTACCCCGCCGTCAGCACCAGCACCGACGCACGGACTGGGGACTACCTCATAGCGGGGGACGACGAGGGCGAACCCTCCACACGTTGGCATGCACAGTCTGACGAGGCTGGGGCACGTCTCTGGCCTGACGTCTCACCTGGCGCAGCCGGGGGACCAATCGCGGGACCAGCGGGCGAGGCCCGCAGACGACCCTTCCTCTGCGCCAGAGTAGGGCGCGACTGGGTCACGACACAGGACGGCGCAGACTGCACACGCCTGGCCTGGGTCATCCGTGGTGGCCGCCCTCCGGGCGGCGCAGCCGCCGCCACGGGCGCAGCCGACGGCATCACTTGGAGCGACCACGGGGTGGATGCCGACCAAGCTCCTCTCGACGCCCCGGCCAGGAAAGCCGAGCGCACCTACAATGCCACCGACTGGTCCACCTGGTCCAAGGGCGGCGGAAGAGGGCACACTGCTGCCGCGTGGGGAGGCGCGTCGTCCTGATACGGCCCAGCCGAGCCTTGGGGAAGCGACTCCGCGTACCACTGGCGTGGCTCGCATGACCCGCACGGCGGCCTCTACCGCACACCCTGGTGCGACATCAACTGGGGACAGCAGTGGAACCGCAGAGAGGATCGCCCCGAGAACTGGTCTGAGGGGCACGGTTCATGGAGGGTTGGAACCAGGCCTGTGATGAGCGAGTCGGTAAGGCGAGAAGCAAGGGGCGCTACAACCCGAACGGCAGCGAGGAATTCTGAAGGCAGTTCCTGGCTGACCCAAACGACTCCTACTATGACATCCGGGCCTTCCGCCGCCACCGCCGCACATGGGTCCACTGGGATGACGTGTGGCGCCAGCAGCAGGAGTGACAGAAACACACAGGTGCGGGGAAGGGCAAAAGTGGCAAGCGCACCAGCGACGCCTCGCGGCCCTCCGCAGACCAGTCCCGCCCACGAAGAAGTTAGCCACCTCGTGACTATCCTGACGACGTTGGCCCCTGGACTGGCGGGCGCGGGCTCGGGGTGCTCAGGGCTCGCCCACTCCGGCGGCCCACCCGTCGCCAGGCTGCGCGCGAGTCGCACAATGCTGGGTGCAGATCCGGCTACGTCCTTCGCCGCGCACTTACCTGGCTCCGACTTGCCTGGGCGCCTGCCCCCCAGGGTGGGCGCCCAGGGAAGTCGGAGCCGGGAGGTCGGAGCCAGTTCAGGGTCACATGACTAGCACATGGCGGCGCCGCGCTGGGCGTCTGCCCCCCCAAGGTGGACGCCTATGCCGACTGGACAGTGCACCGATCAGGTGTTCCAGGAGAGCGCGCTGCCCCCCAAGGTGATGTGCACGCCACCCTCCGCCCTCCTTGCTCCGCCCTGGTCGGCTACCCCCCAAGGTGGGCACCCCCTGTTTCTGTACTAGTCCGCGCACCAATCAAGTCCTGGCTGGGGCGTCCACCCCCCAAGGTGGATGTTCCGTGCAGAAGTACGTGCACCCAGAGTGGTGCTCCCGATGCAGCTGCTGGAGGCGCCTTGCTGTTCGCGCACGTTGCCGTCAGCCGCGCTGCGCGCCCGGGTGCTGCCCTGCGCGCGGCCCCCGCCGGTTGCGCGCCGGGCGGCCCCCCACCCGGCTCGCGCCGGGCCGCCCGCCCCGCTGCTCCAGCAGCTGGGCGCCCCTGCCTGGCCATCTCTGCGGCCGGGCGCCCCGCGCCCCGCCCCGCCGTGGTGCGTGCGTGGGCCGGGCCTGGCGGCCCGCCCCTGGCTTCTCCCCGGCTCGTGCCACGCCCCCGCCGCCTGGGCCTCCCCTGGCGTCGGCAGGTGGCAGTCGCGCCCCGGCTGCACCGCTGCGGCAGTCCAGCACGTCGGCATCTCAGCAGCGCTCAGCAGCCAGGGGGCTCAGCACTGCATCGTCTTGCTACAGCACGCGGCTCGCGGCCCCGTCTCCCTGCCACGACCACCCGGTCCGTGTCTGCATCCTCTTGGCGCCGTAAAACAAAAGTCTGCCGCGTAAAACTTCGCGACGGACATCTGGATGCTACCACTCTTGCCGCGGTGGGCCTGCGCGCCGCTTGCCCTGACGTACTGCTTCGCCTTGCCCTACGCTTCCAGCGCCTGCAGCCTTGGTCTCAACCCCTGGGTGTGGTCGTGACGCCGCCCCTTCTCCACTCCCAGGTCGCCTCAGCACAGGCTGGCCGCACCTCCGCCCTCATCCTGAGACTCTTCCCGTGGTGATAGCACCCCTAACCCGCCTGCTTTCTGCGGCCGCCCCCTTCCTCCTTCCATCTTCTGCTGCCGATTAACTCGTACGCCGCGCGTCCCCGGCTACCACTAGAGCGCGCGAGCGGATCGCCTCTGCCGCGCTGCGACGGAACAAGTTTCTCATCATCGTCCTACTTGCTATTTCTCCTCCTCCTCCTTCTCCTCCTCCTCCTCCTCCTCCTCCTCCTCCTCCTCCTCCTCCTCCTCCTCCTCCTCCTCCTCCTCCTCCTCCTCCTCCTCCTCCTCCTCCTCCGCCATGCTACTCGTCACCCTTCCTCATGCCACCTGTGCCTGGTTCTTGGACGGCGCTGTTCGATTCTGCGCGTCGCCTCCCCGCCCAGACATCACCCCACCTCCCTCCACGCTGACTGGCCCAATCTTGCCTCGTCTTCCCGCGCGCAGTCGACGACGGGCCCATGGGCCAGGCATCAGGCCCCACCCAACACCCCGATGTCCGACGTCTTCTTTTTTTCAATCGCCGGGCCCCATGAACTCTCGAGCCACTCCCAGGGGCCAAGTACCCCGCCCCGGGGTCGTTGACCGACAGCCACTGGGCCAGAAAGCGGGCACCGGCAGGGAGGACAGCTGTGAAAAAAAACAGCTCTGCTCGCTCGAGAACGCTGGAGGTATGGGCCGCCTCCCCCCCGTTCCCTTGTCAAGAAACAGTTTCTGGAGCGGCCAGGGGGAGCATTCTGCCGAGCGCTCCGAGGCGGCTCCGGCCGCGGCGACGAGGGCGCCCCAGGACGCGCCAGAGAAAACAAACGAGGACGACGTCCAAGAAAGCCGCAGACCTCGACCCTCGAACGACCTCGAGCCTCAAAAAGTACCCCCGGAGCTCCACGGCACGCCCGGGGTCGCCGCCCTGGAGGGTACTCGATAGACCCAGGCCCAGATCGGTGCAGGCGAGCGGCGCTGCCCTACGACACCCTGCTGCGCCAGCGCGAAGGCGGCGCTCTCCTGCCACCTCCCTGCGCGCGGCGGAATGGTCCATTACGATGTGCCCCTTCTGCATCTGCTGGCGGGTCACCCCCCGGAGCTTCTGAGATCCATCGAGGCTCGGCGGGCCTCCTCCTCCTCCTCCTCCTCCTCCTCCTCCTCCTCCTCCTCCTCCCTCCTCCTCCTCCTCCTCCTTCGCTTCCTCCTCCTATTCCTCCTCCTCCTCCTCCTCCTCCTCCTCCTCCTCCTCCTTCTCCCCCTCCTCCACCAACGACGACGACGAAGACGACGACAACGACGACGACGACGACGACCAAAGACTGTCGGTCTTCGGTCTTAGACCGAAGACCTAAGACCGACGACGACGGCAGCGACGGTCACGACGACGACCCTCAAAAATCCGCCGCCAGATCTCTCCTGGGGTGGGATCTGACCAGAACTGTCGAGGCGGATCCAGCCGTGGCGACGAGAATGCCCCTCGGGGACCCAAACACAAGGCGAAAAAACTGCCAACCAAACTCGGCCCTCGGCCCTCGACGACGACAACGGCCGACGACGACTGACTACGACCACGACCACGACCACGACCACGACGGCAACTGACCACGACCACGACCACGACGGCGACCGACCACGACGCCAACGACGACGCCGACGACGACCACGACGACGACGACAACGACCACGACGACGACGCCCACGACGACGACGAAGACGACGACGACGACGCCGACGTCGCCAACGACGTTGACCACGACGTTGACCACGACGTTGACCACGACGTTGACCACGACGACGACGACGACGACGACGACGACGACGACGACGACGACGACGACGACGACGGTGGCGGCGGCGGCGACTGCGACGATGACGACCCTCCGACGTGAACGACTGGCGGCGACGACTGGCCGAAAGGCCGAGAGCCCCGCGGGGAGGAGGCGCCTGCCCCCCAGGGCGCCCGCGCCGCCGCGCCCCGCCCCAGGCGCCCGCGCAAGAACTCGGCGGCCGAGCGCCTCGCGCGGTGCCGCGCCCGAGGCCAGCCGGCCGCCGCCGGCGGCGGCGACGACGGCGTCGCCGCCGCTGCTAGTAAGGCCGCGACGGGACTATGGACGGAGCGCGTACCCGCCACTCCCCTTGCGACTTGCATTGGGAAGACAAGCGCACGGGTGGGTCAGCAGACGGGGCGCGTGCCCAAACAGCACAAACATCAGCTGCGTCTGAAGTTGCCCATGCAAGATGCAAGCGGCGCTGGCCATGCCAAAACACTTCGCTGACATGGGAAGCGAGGCTTCGGGCTGGCGCCCCGACAGCCCCCTCCTGGCTGGCCTCCCCGGGCCCCCCGATCAGCTACAGCTGGCCGCAACAGGCCTCCAGGGTACAGTAGGAGCTCTCGACCGCAAGAGCCCTTCCACGAGAAACCCAACCCTGAGACTCCAGGACGCCCACTGATTTTCGGCGCGGCGTCTCTTGACATGGGTCTCCGTTGTTTTGGAGTCCCGAAGCGGTGCGGTGACAGACCGTGCGGTGACCTCGGCATCCCCCAAGACCTCACCGCACGGTCCGTCAACGCACGGTCTTGGGGCCCTGGAGGCCCCCGCCGCCCGAGACGTCCTCGGCGAGGGACTCGGGTCCCAAAACCGCGCGGTGAGCCCGAATCCCCACCGACTCACCACACGGCGTGGTCACCACCCCGCTTGGGGGGGCCCCGAACAGTAGTCTTAAGTCGGGCGTGACCCCCTTCAGGGAGATTTTCGACGAAAAATGAAAACAATGCTTTTGTTTAACAACAACCAAAAAAATAACCAACAAAAACTCAAAAAAACAGTCCCCTGACTATATTTTGACTATTCTTGGATATTCCCCCTGTAGAGGGACAGGCCCGCCTTAACTGTAGTCCCAGTCGGCCCCCACGGGCCCCTCGAGCCGCCCGGGGGCGGTCCCGAAACGCCCCGGCACCGCCTCCAGCGGCGCTCCGGCGGGCGCCTCCGGCGCCCATCGGGGTCGAGGTGAGGAGGCAGCTGGAGCTGCTCGGGGGGGGCCCCTTGTGACGAACGACGGTGGGACGACGAAATTTTGCAAGTTGCTCCTGAACGCGCGCGGCTGCACTTACATTGCGGCGCCACCTCGACGAACAATCCCCGCCCCCTACATCTCAATGTTCGCGCTCAGCGAGCACCCCAAGTCCGGGCGAACAAAATAATGCAAGTCAACATTGAAATGTGGGGATGGGGGGGTCCTCAGAGATCGATGGAATCTGATCCTAATTGGCACGCTGTTTATCAGAATGCTCAGATAACTTGCGATATTTTGTCCACCGACTGGAACAACACGCACCCATACCCCTAGGGGGGTCGTTGGGAGGAGGACTGGCTCTGGCCATGGGTGCGGGTTGTCGGACCCTGGGGAACGCTCCCGTTCGAGCGGGGGCCCCCATCCGGCAGCACGTACCCGTAGCCCTCTCCGATCCCCCTATGGGTATGGGTGTGTGTTGCTGGCTCGTCATCTTGGTTGGCACAGGCCCCCAGGATCGGCGGCGAGCAAGGGCGGGGGGACGCGAGGAGAGGAGGGCTTGCGCGGAAGGCGGCGGGACCTCTCAGAAGGCCTGCCGCCTTCTGAGAAGCTTGGGCCTGTCTTCGGGGGAGGCTTCTAGAGGACTGCGCAGAGGCTTGGGGGACCTCCGAGCCTGCCGAGAAGGCCCGCGCCTTCGCACTTTCCTCCCTCGCTCGCCGCCGCGTCGAGGCCGGCCAGGACTGCCTGGAGGGCGGTCTGCGCGCAGCCGGAAGCCTTACCATCCCAGAGCTCGGGGATGTACAGACCTCCCTTCGGTAAAGCGTGGCTTCGTGAAAACGACCTCGGTTTCCAAACCTGGCGGGCGCGAGCCTGGAAAAGAACGGCCGCGGCGCCCTCTCGAGAACCGAAAACGGACCATTCACGAATCGACGCGCCACTGTTAGGAGGTCTGTCCACCCCCGAAGAACTCCTTTGGGCGCCCGAGTTGTCCGGGGTAACTCGGGTCCGGGGTAACTCGGGCTTGGATTCCCGAAAAAGGAACCCGAGTTAGCCCTGACCCGAGTTACCCCTGATGATGTGGGGCTCTGGACGCCCGAGTTATCCGGGGTAACTCGGGTCCGGGGTAACTCGGGTTTGGATTCCCGAAAAACGAACCCGAGTTATCCCTGACCCGAGTTACCCCTGATGATTCGGGGCTCTGACTCCCGCGTCGCGAAAGCATTGCGACGGGAGGCGCGATGCCGACGCCCCGGCTCGCCGCGCCCGGCTCCGGCAGGCCCCCCGGCCGCTGCCGCTGCACAGAGCCGGATCGCATCCGAATCCGCATCGGAACCGCGGCCTTCGCAGGCCGAAGAGCGAGGGGTCCCCTGACTCCGGATCCGCCCTACTTTGGGGAAATTCGTAAGTGGGGCTTGGAAAATTTCCGCCTTGC